AAATTATGTGATATCTGACCAATCAAATTATAGAATTTTGATGATCGCTAGCAAAGCAAAACAAGAAATAAAAATGACAGCTTTTTGCCCAAATTCAATGAATTTTTTTATTTTAATTCTATGAATTTATAGAATTAAAACAAAATAAAATTTATCGAATTTAGTCAGATAGTGAGAAATTTTGCTTAAAGTTTAAAAAAAATTCAAAAGCACTAATTTACTGATAGGACAGATTCTTCTAAACTCTCCTCGATAACCATCAGACAAAATTTGATAAAAGTTTTATTTATTTTCTTAATTGCATGTATGTGTAGAATTAAAATAAAAAAGTTTTTTAGGATTTTGCCATTTATTTATTAAGAAAACTTCGTTCAATGTTTTTAAAAAAAATGCAAAATTTGTTTCGTGTATGTTGGCCGGTGATTAATTCTGATTAGTTGAACGTGCTTATAACTTCAATGAATATTACGTAATCTGTTGTTCAAATAGATGCACTCCACATTCAAGGGGTGCTATTCAGACTGTTAATTTTATACTATAGTTTGGGATTCAAAAAAGTTTTATAAGAAATTCGTAAGAATTTTTTTAGATCCCGAATAATAAGTATAAAATTAATAGCCTGAATACAGAAAACAAGTCTGAATGGCTTGTAGATCACGGAACTGCCAATTTTTTGTGACATAACTAACTGGGGTGGTCTGTCAACTAAGTAAATCAAAACTATGTATATAAAAATTTATTATAAAATTTTTTCATGTAGTATGAATATTGTTCTTATTGATTTTAATCATCATAATTCGGTGTTAATTTATTTTAATCAACATAATTCGATGTTAATTTATTTTAATCAACATAATTCGGTGTTAATTTATTTTATTAATATATTATATACGATATTCATTATGGCAGTGAAGCTGAGTTTTTTGAAATATTTTAATATTAAATTTTAAAATTTTTTGGGCCTTTTTTTTTTAGAATTAGGTTAGAGTTTAGAGGTAGTTTTATTAATAAAAGAGTACAAGTGAATTTTAGTAGGTATTATAGATTTAAATAGAGACCCCAATCTCAACTACAGCCGCCACACTTATTTAGATGCAGGGCCTTTACGACTAAAACTTAGAAGCTCAAATTTTAAATGGACCGATAGAAAGTCTCTACAAAACAAGTTACAGAGTCAAATTTTTTATATTTAAATAAAAAATTACTAGCAACTTAAATTCGTCTATATTATCCAAACAAAATACAGATAAAGTAAGTTAGAAAAAAACCCTTTTCCATATGTAATGTAGAAAACGGTTCTGTAACTTTATTACTTGAATAAGAAAGAGTCGATTGGCATTAAATCTTTCTGCTAAATCTAAAAAAAGGCAAGCCAATTTTATATATAGATATTTGCTTATTAATCGTACAGATCAAACATTTCGGTAAGCTTAAATATTAGTGACATATAATTTTTACTTAGTTGACGGTCCACCCCAATGACTAATCTAACTGCTAATACTCAATGTTTCAGAATATTTTTATTACTAATAATTTATTACCGTAAATGATCATATCCAATACCAGGGCAATCAATTTTAAAACCTCTAATAGGCCTCGTAGTGATTGGACTCGATTCAATTGTGACATGCAAATTACTGTAAACTCAGAAAAATATTCGAATCATATATAGTTTTAATTATCTTACTTGAGTAATTCGAATCGCGAAATTAATTTATTGAAAATTTTGTAAATTAAACTAATTCACGTAACTCTCGAGTTATTTGAGTCACGAGTTAATGAGTCCAGTCACTAAGGACACATTTATAGCACATGTCTGAGAGTTTGTATTATATAAAATAAAATTTTGAAATGCGCACGCACTTTGCATTTATACATACAATTTAAGTTTTTAAAAAGAATTGTATTTCAGTTAAGAAGGTCCTGAGATTCACACCCGGGTCTAGTATGTATTTAAATGACTTTCGCAATAGTCGAGAATTTAAATTATAGAAAAATTATGATAAACAATTTAATTATAGAGAATTCTAATTACAGGTTTGATAATAAATTTTTTTTTAAAATTACTTTTATTACATTTAATAAAGCTATATTAAATAATTTTAGTAATATCCTGTGGCAGTATGGATGAATAATTTTATCGTCTAACATGGGTCTTTAAGATTTAACGAGTTCTAAACCACCTTTATCGAGAATTATATTTAATGGCACGTATACACTAAAATCAGGAAAACCTTGAATGAGCATACCGTTTAGACTCACAGTTGATAAATCTCGTAAATAAGAAAATGCAGGAGCACCACTATCGCCTGGACAAGCCATTTGAAAAGATTTTTTACCGGCAAGGATAAGATCTGTTCCCATAAAACCAATATTGTTTATTGTAACTGCATTTAATCCACTTACATATCCACAAGTAGTATGTGTCGTCAGACCAGATTTACATAAATGTGCACCATGGCTAGTTATAGTTTTACCACCCTCAACAAATAATTCAGCATGTTCTTTGGAATCTGTATTTCTTATAGACGTTGATTTTGTTGATGGTCCGACATCATTATCTACCCTTTCGATCAAACCAAAATCGTATAGGTCTATATTATCGGATTCTATCATTCGTCCTAAGAAATTGAGTAAATTGGGAGGTTTTTCAGAATCCCACGGAAAATGATAAAATGGTTGTGCTACATTACTAAATCTCTGAAATTGATCAGAACAGTGTCCTGCGGTTACAATGTATTTCGAACTTTCATTTTGATTACTTTTTGCCAAAAAACCCACTGAACAAAAGCCACCAGTGGCATTATTATATATACCATCTCCATAAAGAATCAAGGGTTTTATCAGATTTCTATTTAAGATCTGAGTTTGTGGTATTTTTGGGTTTTGACATCTAGGGTTTGGGAAAGCGCTGGGGTGAACAAAAGTTGGTTCATATTGACTAGCGAATTTTATAAACATCTCATTATTTTTATTTTTCTTCAGATGGCGTATTACTACATTATTAATCTCCATATCAATGTAAAGTTGAATACTAGTTGGTCTATATTTTTTCATTAAATCAAATATGGTATTAAAGCGAAATGTTAATGTAGCCGTGGAATTTTTTGCTGGTATAAATTTTATAAAATTTATATAATCTCCCTTTTTTATCTCAGGCGAGTCTGTTATATCATTTATTACTGAAAAGTCTACTGTATTGACAAATACTTTTTTCTTTTTCACGTCTAAATATGTTCCTCCAAAACTTAAGTCGTAATTTTCTAGAAGTAGTTGCAAAGTTCTGTCCACTATGGTCAATTTCTCTTCAATGGCCAAAAAATTGAGTAATTCGCTATCTTCTACATCCCATAATTCTGCTAGTGCTTCTTTAGCATGGATTAGAGAATATTTGTTTAATGTAAAAACTAATAATAATAAATTTAAAAAAAAGCAAATATTTCTCATTATTATAATAATAATGATAAATGATCTTCTAAATTTATAATTTATCAGATTTAACCTTTAGAATAATTATTAGTTCGCGTGCAGAATGAAATTAGACTTTGGATTGACAACGGAGTGAAGGTAAAACCTGAGTTGTGAGCTAGTGAAATTTTATATGTAGATTATGTAAATCAGCTTTTCCATAATAAACATCATAATGGTAGTTAGGTTTATTAGTTTGCCCCACAGTGTCTCTCAGTTTCTATTTGAAACTTAAAAGTCTTGTCTCTGATTGAATACCACGGAAATTATGAATAATATTATGGTTAGCATTAAGTGAAAATTTGGATTTATTTCCGTAATTTAACATTACACATCGATATGCATAATTTACTGGGGTGTATCATATCGGTTAATTTACAAACATAGTGCAGGTCATATAGTGAAAATCACTATTTAAGATTTTTCATAGTAAAATTTTCGGATCTGCACACTATATGAAACGATTATAAAAAAAAGACTTTACTACGCCTTTAATTCCTCCCGTGGTACTTGATATTTTTTAATTTCATAAAAGTAAGACATTTAATTAAAGTTATCTTTTCATAGTAATAACGCCAGAATTTCAATTTTACTAGTTAAAATAAACTATTTTTAATGGCTAAATAGTTCAGGTTAAAAAATCATGTGATAGATCTTTCATGTTGTACATAAAAGATAACGATAAGAAATTTACAGATTGGAATTTTACATTTACACTACTTTAACTAAATGTTTTATATAGTAATAGAACAGAAATTAAATGAATGAAGAAATAGAATAAAGCTAAGACAAGTTATACTATAGATTTAAATAGCTGTTTCAGGAGTTTGATCTCTAGAAACAGCTATTTAATTTTTTTCAAATATCAGTTTTTCGTTGCTTGTTATTTCAGGTGCTTCATCACTTGATATTTCAATTATTTCAGGGTCTTCATCACTTGATATTTCAATTATTTCAGTTAGATGGTTCCTACTACTATTATTTTGAGGTATTGTCTTTCTATTTTCAAGGAACTTGTCAGCTATTTCCGCTTGTTTACTAGTGGACTTGTTAGCTATTTCTGCTTGTTCACTAACATGCTCAAAATCTAACTCTCTATTTTCATAAAATTGGTATCGATCATTTACTGTAGTATTTACTTGCTCTGCGGCTATTTCTTTGTACTGAATATCACAATCA